TTAGAAGTTTTGTAATATCAAATTTGATCCCATAACATGTTTTAGAAGTTTTGTACTATCAAATTTGATCCCATAACATGTTTTAGAAGTTTTGTACTATCAAATTTGATCCCATAACATGTTTTAGAAGTTCTGTAGCATCTATTACCTTGCCTGAGGTGACTCATGAAAAACAAGTGGAAGTTTACCATTGTGTTGTTTGTCAGTGTGTATGTGTGTTTGAGTGTGTGTGTTTGTGTGTATGAGTGTGTGTGTGTTTGTGTGTTTGAGTGTATGTGTGTTTGTGTGTATGAGTGTGTGTGTGTTTGTGTGTATCAGTGTGTGTGTTTGTGTGTATGAGTGTGTGTTTGTGTGTATGTGTGTTTGTGTGTATCAGTGTGTGTGTGTGTATGAGTGTATGTGTGTTTGTGTGTATGAGTGTATGTGTGTATGTGTGTTTGTGTGTATGAATGTTTGTGTGTTTGAGTGTATGTGTGTATGAGTGTTTGTGTGTATGAGTGTACGTGTTTTTGTGTGTATGAGTGTGTGTGTGTATGAGTGTATGTGTGTTTTTTGTGTATGAGTGTTTGTGTGTATGAGTGTTTGTGTGTATGAGTGTATGTGTGTATGAGTGTGTGTGTGTGTGTATGTGTGTTTGTGTGTATGAGTGTATGTGTGTTTGTGTGTATGAGTGTTTGTGTGTATGTGTGTTTGTGTGTATGAGTGTTTGTGTGTATGAGTGTATGAGTGTGTGTGTGTGTGTGTATGAGTGTGTGTGTGTGTATGAGTGTGTGTGTGTATGTGTGTATGAGTGTATGTGTGTTTGTGTGTATGAGTGTTTGTGTGTATGAGTGTTTGTGTGTATGAGTGTTTGTGTGTATGAGTGTATGTGTGTATGAGTGTATGTGTGTATGAGTGTATGAGTGTTTGTGTGTATGAGTGTATGTGTGTTTGTGTGTATGAGTGTATGTGTGTATGTGTGTTTGTGTGTATGAATGTTTGTGTGTTTGAGTGTATGTGTGTATGAGTGTTTGTGTGTATGAGTGTACGTGTTTTTGTGTGTATGAGTGTGTGTGTGTATGAGTGTATGTGTGTTTTTTGTGTATGAGTGTTTGTGTGTATGAGTGTTTGTGTGTATGAGTGTATGTGTGTATGAGTGTATGTGTGTATGAGTGTATGTGTGTTTGTGTGTATGAGTGTTTGTGTGTTTGTGTGTATGTGTGTTTGTGTGTATGAGTGTTTGTGTGTATGAGTGTATGTGTGTTTGTGTGTATGAGTGTATGTGTGTATGTGTGTTTGTGTGTATGAATGTTTGTGTGTTTGAGTGTATGTGTGTATGAGTGTTTGTGTGTATGAGTGTACGTGTTTTTGTGTGTATGAGTGTGTGTGTGTATGAGTGTATGTGTGTTTTTTGTGTATGAGTGTTTGTGTGTATGAGTGTTTGTGTGTATGAGTGTATGTGTGTATGAGTGTGTGTGTGTTTGTGTGTATGTGTGTTTGTGTGTTTGTGTGTATGAGTGTGTGTGTGTTTGTGTGTATGAGTGTTTGTGTGTATGAGTGTATGTGTGTTTGTGTGTATGTGTGTTTGTTTGTATGAGTGTATGAGTGTTTGTGTGTTTGAGTGTATGTGTGTTTGTGTGTCTGAGTGTTTGTGTGTATGAGTGTATGTGTGTTTGTGTGTATGAGTGTGTGTGTGTATGAGTGTATGTGTGTATGAGTGTATGAGTGTTTGTGTGTATGTGTGTTTGTGTGTATGAGTGTATGTGTTTTTGTGTGTATGAGTGTGTGTGTGTATGTGTGTATGAGTGTTTGTGTGTTTGTGTGTTTGAGTGAATGTGTGTTTGTGTGTATGAGTGTTTGTGTGTATGAGGGTTTGTGTGTATGAGTGTTTGTGTGTTTGAGTGTATGTGTGTTTGTGTGTGTGTGTATGAGTGTATGTGTGTGTGTGTTTGTGTGTATGTGTGTTTGTGTGTTGGTTTGGTGGTTGTTGGTTTTTTTTTTGGTATTTGTTGACCATCTGACCTGCTGGTGTAGTGCCGACCGATGTCTTTGAAGGAATTGTTTGTTTGCACCATCTGACCTGCTGGTGTAGTGCCGACCGATGTCTTTGAGGGAATTGTTTGTTTGCACCCGGGCGTCACGGCACGTATAGGGTAGCCCCACCTCTCCCCTTCTTTTGTGGCTACATGTACGTATGACTATGCTTCTGCGGAAGCCGAGAATGTTTCTGAGTGTTCTCAGAGGGTCTGCTGGGGTAATAATAGTTGTAAAGCGCATAGAGCATGCTCTTGAGCGTGGATATGCGCTATATAAATGCAATTATTATTATTATTATTATTATTGCCTGTCTATTTTATTGTGGCTACATGTACTTATGACTATTTCCCTGTCTGTTTTATTGTGGCTACATGTACTTATGACTATTTCCCTGTCTGTTTTATTGTGGCTACATGTACTTACGACTCTTTCCCTGTCTGTTATTTCCTAGACTGGTGATTGGGCCAATGTTAAACTCCTCGGTGGAGGGCTATTACTCCAACTTTTGGGCTGGCATGTCGGACAAGGTATGACTGCCATTGTTGTTTTGTTTGTGTAGTTTGTGTGTCTGTGTTTGAGGTCTGCCTTAAGCTGATTAAGTTCTCTCATTAAGATTCTTCCCTTTCATATTTGAAAGATTTTTATTTGCAATTTCATCAGTGGATTGTTGAGTGTCTTTTGATATATGCATTTCTTTTACTGTAAAATTTCTTTTGTAATTATGTTTTTTTGGTGTTTCAAATTGAATGGTACGTCAGCTTTTTGAACGTGCCAGGGCTGTTATCTACACCTCTTTGTCCAAGGATAGACAGACCGCTGTTTTCTTCCTTCTCTCTAGGCTGAGCTGTGTTCTTCCTTCTCTCTAGGCTGAGCTGTGTTCTTCCTTCTCTCTAGGCTGAGTGTAGCACAACACAAAATAAAAAGTAGGTCAGCTGGTTGCTAGGCAGGGAGAAAAAGAAAAGGATCAAATCCTGAGTGGTCCTGTGTCCTCCCTAGGGGTACTACATGCGGGCCAACAACTACATGCAGATCGTGGAGCGGGAGATGACCGGTACATTCCCCGTCCCGATGGTGCACACCGCGCTCCTGGTGGACCTGAGACACCCGCTATCCTCCCACCTCGCCTACAGCCCGCCCCCGCCCGACTACAAGGGACCCCGCGATGACATCATCATCTTTGCTCACTCCGTCAAAGCTTTAGGTAATT